AAAATAAGAAAATATAATTTCTGGCAAGTATTCTTCTACAGCGAGTACTTTTTAAAGGTTAAATACTTTACAAAAAGGATTTTTGGATTATTGTAAGACTTCTTAAGATTTAAATTAAAAATGTATAGGTTTAGGGTAGCTTTTGAGTAGTTATTTCTGTAAAGACCATCGTCAAATCCTGTTTTGGTTGTCAAGAGTCTAGGGATTAAGTTCATATTGTCATTCGCCAAAAGCACAAGTAAATTTAAAAGTTGAATTAATGGCATGAACCTGATATTATTTAGACGTTGTGGGGGCCTTAAGCCCATCTGTCAGTCCTATCAATTCCCAATCTCTGACGCTCGCCACTAACCAAAGCACTGACATATATCAATGCCAAAACACCCACACAGCCATACGCCCAATCTATACATACACACTGGCAGGATAACAAACACATATACATGTACAGGGACACATCTTGAAGTTGTGAGCAAACAGACGAGAAAAAAATGCAAGTAAGAAAAAATCACGTTGAGCGAAGTAGAACTGGCGGGTACTCTTCTTGAGCAGAATATGTTTGAGGGAATGTATTTGATTATTCGGTTAGAGAAATTGAACTCAATATAATCCATAATTAGACTAGAACTAAATATAATCTTATAATGAAGGTTTATGCAAAAATTCTAGTCAACATCTTTGAAACTGAAACACTAGACATGAGGTATCCAAGACACAAGACATCAAACCTCCAATACGTCCTGTTAGAGTATTTAAAAAAAAAAAAAAGAGCCCAAGATGTGTAAAAAAAAAAAAAGAAAGTAAAGAAAAGGCAACAAAATATACAGCTCTCGGCTTTAGGTTGGGCAAACTTTTTGTCTTCTGTGTTTGGGTGTATGTGTGTGTGTGTTTGTGTGCGAAAAGGGGATATGCCCCATGCCGCCACACTACATCAGGCGCGGTACAGAGACGTAGTTGCTAAGAGGGTGTGCATTACAAACAGCTGCTGCAGTTGTGCAGTTTGATGATACCAGAGACAGAGACCATAGACTCAGAGTACAGAGCACAGAGTACAGAGACCAGAGCATTGACACACTTTTCCCGCTGTCCTGTTCGCCGAGTTTGTTTGTTTGTTGTTTGTTTGCATTCTGGCCATTCTGCCATTGAGCAGGAAATTAAAAATGTCCTTATAGATTTATATGAACGTTCACATGCAACACGCACAAGGCACGCATACTAATAGGGATATGCAGTTTGAAAAATTTGTATTTTAATAGATTTTATAGATTTTATGGTTCTATTAAATAAATGGTTTTGATTTAACTAATTCTCGTAAAAATAAAATTAAAGGAGGATACTCTTAGAAGTATATTCATTGGAAAAAATATTTTTTTATAATGTTATTTAAAATCTATAGTCTTATCAAGAATTCTAATTAATAATCAAGATTATTTAATTAACAAAAGGATATTAATATCCAAAAAGTATGCTACACTTTTCGTACCTAGAAACTTATTGGATCACCTTTTACATAAAAGAAATTTTTACAAAATCTAACCCTTTCTTTAGCCCGGAAAAGTATGCTATATTTTTACAGTCAGAAGTTTTTATAAGAAACATTTTGAATCCATTTGCTTAACTTTATTAAAATGTACTTATATTTTAGCTAATTACATTATTTTTTAGTTATTTATAAACTTTATAAAGAACTTTTATAAGATTGTAAATTTCGTGACCTATCCTTGTAACTTGGCTCGTTAAAATTAGATTTATATTTCAAGTATAATACACTATTAATAATTCTAATACTCTTATTTTCATATCATAGACCATAATTATTACTTCAATTAGAGTAAATGTTTTCAGGGCTATTAATAACTTAAGCCATAAGCCGAAAAGTACTGGGTTCGGCGCACAAAACAGCTCCTTTATCACAAAATACCTGGCTTAATTACCACAGCAATTAGTCAGGTGCTTAAAACCCTTTTGTTCAAAGGCAATTAGCGATCTTATCACTCAAGTTGACTAATTTCTCCGTCTTTTTTTTCTCAGTACATATTATTTTTTTTTGTACAAATCCTTGCTATTTTATTTTTTATGAAAAAAAGAAAAGAGAAAGGTGTGTAAAATGTTAAATGATTGAGTGACTGATTTAGAAGGAAGGAGACGGGTGTGGAGGAGGGAAAGGTAAAGTGGGACAGGTTTAAATGGCGTAACACACGCACATAAACAAAAGAAAATAAAAAAAAAAACAAAAATAACAGCTGTTTAGAAAAAAAAACTCTTTCTCTTTTCATTTTATTTTCTTGGCAACTTTCCTTTATTTTCTCTCTTTAGCCTTTTTCCCACCTTTTCTTTTTTTTGCAAGTTTTCTATTTCTATGTTTTTTTTTATTTTCTTTTTCAAATGTTTTGTTTTTGTTTTCCAACTCGGTATTTCGGCGAGTTGATTACATTTTTGTCGGCACAATTTTAATTGTTTTCTTTGTTTATTTGCTTTTTGTTTTTGTTTTTGAAATGCACGTTGTAATGGCCACAAAAAAAATAAATAACAATTACAATTACAATTACAATAACAACAACTATGTGGCAACGAGACGTGAGAGAGCGAGCGGGAGAGTGGCGGATAAATAGAGATACTGGTGTTGGTGTCGGTGTGCCGTGTGAAGTGTGATAAGAGTGTCCCGAGGGAGAGAGCGACCGAACACTTCCGTGCGGAAGTCTGGCGACGACTGAAAGTGAAATTGAAAGGCACAAAGCCGACAACCGAAAAACGACAAGCTGAAGGAGCAGGCGAAGAAGCGAAACAAACGGTAAACGATTTCATTGCTTCGCCATTTCTCTGCCGCGTCTGCGTATGTGTGTGTGTGTCAGTGTCAGTGTGTATTTGTGAACCGGGTGCCCGCTTGATTGTTGTTATTGTTTACCTTTTGGCACGAATTTCAGCGCCAAAAATAGACAAAAAAAAAACGGGAACCCCACCAAAACATCAGCTGTTTCCGAAAGAGAGCTTTCACCTGTGTCCTGGCTAGACTTTTGGCGGCTTAACAAAGAAATTGGATGTGCTTTTTATATATTTATTGATTTAATTTAAAAAATTACAACAAATTAACATATTTTTATTTTTATTTTTATTTAAAATTTGTTGTATATTCAATTTTTAGTCATAATCTTCTTTATTTTCATGATTTAATATAATTTTTTTAATAGTTTTGTGACCAAACCTTAACAAAAGTTTAGTTTGGTAAAAAACCTTGAGGATTTAAAGAAAAGTGCTTTTCTCCGAAGCGCCTTCTTCAAATTAATCAATTTCAAAAAACAAAAAAAATTTTGTTCATTTTTGGATAAAGAATACATATAGTACAAATGTAAGTATCTTAAAGAGAAAATATAAAAAAACAAGAAAGGAAAGCTAACTTCGGGCGGAGCCGAAGTTTATATACCCTTGCAGTTAAAACTGGATATATATCGCAAACATCGGATATAGTTGGCCGATCCTTATGATTACATCATCATAAAACCAATTAATTACAATAACAAGAAAGGAAAGCTAACTTCGGGCGGAGCCGAAGTTTATATACCCTTGCAGTTAAAACCGGATATATATCGCAAACATCGGATATAGTTGGCCGATCCTTATCTGAATAGGAATATATAATCCAATTTATTACAATGCAAAATCTAAAAAAAGTCCCAAACTTCTATCTTCAAAAACACGAAAGTTGGGTCATTTCCCATCGTTCAGTTATATGGCAGCTATGAGATATAGTCGGCCGATCCTAATGAAATTTGGTAGGTTGGATAAACTGACCAAAAATATAATCTGTATTAAATTCCAGCTTTCTATCTTCAAAAACACGAAAGTTGGGTCATTTCCGATCCTTCAGTTATATGGCAGCTATAGGATATAGTCGGCCGATCCTTATGAAATTTGGCATGTCGTATTATTTTGCCAAAAATAGCTCTCATGTCAAATTTGAACTCTCTAACTCTAAAAACACCACAGTTATACCATTTCCGATCAATCAGTTATATGGCAGCTATAGGATATAGTCGGCCGATTCCGGCCGTTCCGACTTATATACTGCGTGCAAAGGAAAGAAGGGTGTGTGCAAAGTTTCAAGACGATAGCTTCAAAACTGAGAGACTAGTTCGCGTAGAAACGGACAGACGGACAGACGGACAGACGGACAGACGGACATGCTCATATCAACTCAGGAAGTGATCCTGATCAAGAATATATATACTTTATAGGGTCGGAGATGTCTCCTTCACTGCGTTGCACACTTTTGGACAAAATTATAATACCCTCTGCAAGGGTATAAAAACGTTCATGTAAATGCATATACTAATATAGAGACTATATGGTAGTGTTTAAAAATAGATAGAGTATCTTAAGACGTTATAATAATAGGTAATATATAGGTATAGTAATATTTAATAGATAATATAGAACCAACTGTATAGTTTTTCGATCATCTAAAACCCGATACCGGTACCCGCTGCCGGTTATAAATCAATACTTAGAATCTCAAGCAGGAAAACGTCCCGTTTTCAGGATGGCCGTAAACTCCAAGGGTGTATAGTCAAAATTTGAATAGATTTTGAATAGATTTTTGAACACAAATATAACCTATCTTTTGACTTATTTAGTCATAGGGTGTATTTGGGTTATATAAGTTAGATAAAAGGTTAGAGCTCCTCAACAAAGCAACCGAAATTAACATAGAACTGAAAATCCAATAAATATTTAGACCAAGTAGCACATGATTTTATAGTTTAGTTGACATCGTCCCTACTGCCAGCCAAACATTCTCAAGCCTCACTCACTCCAAAGCTATCAAATGAATACAACATACATTTCACTGTAACAAAACCAAAGCTGTGAAATAATAACCAAGTAATAATAACCAAGTAATAAACAAGTAAACCAGTAAACAAGTAATATAAAGCAACTGAAGCTGAAGAATATATATATTTTGTTAAAATTTGTTCGAGATTTTTGTTTAAATTCCTGTTTTAATGGATAAGTCGCCACCGGGTTCGCACCGCTATCTTTTCAAGCCAGCAGGCTTTGATCCTCTGGAGGCACGGTCGCGCCGTCACGAGGTCACCGTCAAGCTAAGGAAGTCCAAGAGAGAGGAGGCTTTTATGAAGCAACGTAACATAACATGGGAATCTTTGGAGGATGATTCGATGACGCCACAGATGATAGACACTGATAATGATAACCAGGACATGATGCTGGTCGATGATGTAAATATCGATAATATAAATAAACTATGCGATTCTATAACGCCAGCTAATAATAATGTTGACATTAATACAGTTGCGAAAACTGTACAGAAGATAATGGTTTTTGTGGCTAGCTGTGATAACGAACGTGGTCACATTATGGGCCTCCAATGTGCCCGAAAATTGCTAGGCTGCCTCCAGGATCCACCCATCGACATGATGATCCAGCATGGAATATTACCGTGTTGCGTGGACTTCTTGAAAAGGAATCACAATCCGAAATTGCAATTGGAAGCTGCCTGGACCCTGACCAATATCACCTCGGGCAATACCGAACAAACAATGGCGGTAGTAAAATCTGGAGCAGTCGCCCCTCTGATGGCACTGTTGCGTTCCGAATCAACGGATGTCGTCGAGCAAGTCCTCTGGGCGCTGAGCAATATATCTGCCGAGTGCCGAGATCTGGTCTATGGCCTTAATATCATCGATGAAATTATGCCGCTGCTCGAGGTCAAGGGTCCGATCACCTATAACCGCAATCTGACCTGGCTGATCTCTATTTTGTGTCGCTCCGAGATGGATTCGGCGAGCTTTGCCAAGATCTGCAAATTCCTGCCACATCTGATGTGTCAATTGTGCAACCCACTCGAATTGGGTATCTTGTCCAACACCATTTGGGCATTCACCTATCTGACCGACCACAGCGTTCATCAGACCCAGGTGGTGCTCCAGACGGGTGCCCTGCCATGGATCGTCGGCCAACTGACTATCCAAACGCACATATCCGTCTTGATGCCGGCACTGCGTTGCGTTGAGAATGTTATCGCCAAAACGGAAGACTTCGGCAATTATGCGATATCGGTGGGGTGCCTGCCGTATCTAGGAAATTTGTTGGAACACGAGAAGCCAATGGTCGTTAAGCGGACCGTCTGCATTTTCACCCAGCTGTCTTATAACCAAAATCAAATCCAGGCCATGCTGGAGGCAAAAATATACACGCAGCTGGCCAAAATTTTGTCGAACGGCGATTTCCGGATCCAAAGAGAGGTAGTCGTGTGCATTTGCAATACGATCACATTCGGAACTCCGCACCAAACCATAGCCATGGTGGATGAATATGACATTTTCCTGCCGTTCATTAAGCTGCTCGATTCACAAGACACCAGGATCTTGATACGCATCCTGACCGGAATCGAGGGACTGTTCAACCTGGCCGAAAATCTGCAGTCTATTCAAATCTTTACCTTTAAATTTGAAGAACTGGGCGGATTGGAGAGACTGGAGAAGTTGAAGTTGCACTATAATGAGGCTGTCCATGAAATGTCTGTAAAGTTAATTGAATCCTATTATCCGGACGATGATAATATGGAAACACCCCAGAGCGTCACACAACAAGCTCATGTTGCTGGAGATCAGTCAGGGCCAAATGGACTTAGTCAACAATTGCAAGTCGCATTAACACCCCCAGGAGCAGCGGGACCAGGATTGTCAGCCGATGGCCAGTCCTTTGAGATGTCGACTCCACCGCCGCCAATGGATGGATATCAATTCTAGAGGAGCTTAAATTATTCAGTTAGCTTAACACAACAGAAATATTCGCAGGATTCTTCCCCTCTTCATTCGCCATTACAACTACTTGTCCTTTACTAACTACACACTCGGCATATACACTGCACAGGTGTCAAAAGAACAAAAAAAGTTGTATTCATAATAATAAGCTATCTAAAGATTTCCCTGTTTCCCATTAAGGGGAATATTTAGATACTTATGGTACAGATGTATGACCAAAAATTTGATGTATGCACACCATATATGCAATGAGAAAAACAGCACATCAACATAACATTGATCACGGACAAAATTTATATATCTACGGCTTCCCTGGTTTGTCAAAATGGGAATACTTAGATACTTTAGTGCAGATGTTTATCCAATAATGCGACTCCAAACTGCAAGTTAATTGATGATTTAAATGAGACATACATACAGAAAACAAGATATGTATGTAAACTAATACAAAATTAAGCATGTAAAAAATTTAGAAATGTATATAAAATTGTGATTGTGAACTAATTCAGGGGTGCCCAGCCCCATTCCTCTTGGTGCTTCTTTGTTGTCGGAATTGGGTCCTAAGCTATCAGCCACAAGGAATGTAAAAAACAAGTAGTTCGTTTTTTTTATGGTTAAAAACAAGGTAAGAAAAAAACTTTTTAAAAAACTTTAAAATAATTTTCCCGCCAAACGAAGGTTCCTATAAGCTTCCAAGCACATAAGCGCCCACAACTTTAGAATCCTCTCAAAGCCAGGGACTTTTCCTAAAGCTTTTCCTGGAAAAAGGTCAACCATAAGCTTTCGAGGGAACAAATAATCCTTTTGTGTTCTTCCACAAAGCTCGCGAAATACCAAACATGTTTAATCCTGTTTCCTTTTGCCTCAAAAAGCTTCGAAAAAGCGTGGACCTTAAGCCCCCAAGGATCTAAACAAAAAAGGACACCGCGCCACACGAGAGCTTTAAACGGGTTTTTCGTCTTTTGAATATTTAACCACAAGAAGTTCTGACCACAGAGTGTTATTAATGTTGGCCAGGATTTCGAGAGGATATTCAGGATATACTCTTGTGCTTCATCGCACATTCATATGTCAAGTGCAGGACTCCCAACAGAGGACCAGCTCCCTGGGTAACAGAAACAGACATTCAAGCATGACGTATAAAGATGTCCTGTCAACACACGTCCTTGTCCTGGTTCTTGTACCTTCCTACGGGGGTCCTGGCTTATATATCTGGCCCCCCTAGGTCCTGTCACATTCTGCGGTGAAAGAAACACATAAACCAATTCAATTCAGCTCACCTCAATCGACTGTCAGTCCCAAGAACTCGATTAACATTTATTTTCTTATTTTCTCTCTCAATCTATTGACTCGGGCTTTTTTTCTTTACACTGAGAAGAGTTGGGGGTATATATGTTTATACTAAATATAAATTAAAGAAAAGAGGTAAACAGGTATAGAATTTTGGGAAAATAATATTTTCTTTCTTTTTATAACTTTTTATACCCTTGCAGAGGGTATTATAATTTTGTCCAAAAGTGTGCAACGCAGTGAAGGAGACATCTCCGACCCTATAAAGTATATATATTCTTGATCAGGATCACCTCCTGAGTTGATATGAGCATGTCCGTCTGTCCGTCTGTCCGTCTGTCCGTCTGTCCGTCTGTCCGTCTGTCTGTTTCTACGCAAACTAGTCTCTCAGTTTTAAAGCTATCGTCTTGAAACTTTGCACACACCCTTCTTTCCTTTGCACGCAGTATATAAGTCGGAACGGCCGGGATCGGCCGACTATATCCTATAGCTGCCATATAACTGATTGATCGGAAATGGTATAACTTTGGTGTTTTCAGAGTTAGAGAGTTCAAATTTGACATGAGAGCTATTTTTGGCAAAATATTACGACATGCCAAATTTCATAAGGATCGGCTGACTATATCCTATAGCTGCCATATAACTGAACGATCGGAAATGACCCAACTTTCGTGTTTTTGAAGATAGAAAGCTGGAACTTGGTACAGATTATATTTTTGGCCAGTTAATCCGACCTACAAAATTTCATTAGGATCGGCCGACTATATCCTATAGCTGCCATATAACTGAACGATCGGAAATGACCCAACATTCGTGTTTTTGAAGATAGAAAGCTGGCACTTGGTACACATTCTATTTTTGGTCAGTCAATCCGATCTACCAAATTTCATAACGATCGGTTGACTATATCTTATAGCTGACATATAACTGAACGATCGGAAATGGTATTTGGTAGAAATATCAACTTTCGAATTTTTGAAGATAGAAGCTTGGGACTTTTTTTTAGATTCTTTATTGTAATTAATTGGTTTTATTATGATGTAATCATAAGGATCGGCCAACTATATCCGATGTTTGCGATATATATCCGGGTATAGCTGCAAGGGTATATAAACTTCGGCTCCGCCCGAAGTTAGCTTTGCTTTCTTGTTAAAATTTAATATTCTTTAAAATAAAGTTATAATTGTTGGGTATGCTCCATATTTATAGTCAATTTAAAGGGAATCATATCATATGTAGAAGCACATATTTTTAATAAATTTTTAATCCAATCAAAAAAAAAAAAATTCAAGATTAAATATTAGATTAGATTCCATATTTTTCTCACAGTGCTTATCCGCCCAACGGCATACTCATTCTCCATCCTAGATTCTCAAATATTTTCTCCTTATGGCTGCTGTCATTGTCGCATTGGCGTGGAAATGTTGCAAAATTAATGCGATATCGAGTGCGATTACAAATGTGACAACAACAATAGCAATAACAATAACAAGAGAAAACAATAAACAAAAACAAATCCAATAAGAAGATATGTATGTACATTGTACAACAACAAGTGTTGCTTGCTGCCAAGCCACTCCAAGCCACGCTTTGGCTCAAAGTTGATTTACAATAATCGCCATCGACAAGCAAAAATGGCAACAAATAACAGATGTAAGTGCCAGAGCTGTTGGCCATAAACACCATCTGGCCTACAGGATGGCACACACACACACATGTATATATTTGTATGTGTACCATATATTTTAGTCAGATTAAGGAAAAAATAAAATAAATGACAGAGAGGTAGGTGTTGAAAGTTTAATTGAACATTAAGTAATTGTTTTATGGGTGGTCTTCAGGTATTTGATAGGCTTTAAGGATTCATATTAAATATATTACCTATTTAAATTGTTTTTGATTTTTTTTTAAGTTTTTAAATAAGTTTGTAAATGTTAATATTATTTATCATTATAAAACAATTAGCCACATCTTAAGACCATCTTAAGGTCAGTTTCATGACTATATTATACCCGGTACTCCCCTTAACCCAACTTGATTATTAGAACAGTTTTAGAAACTACTTAATTTTTAAGTCATAAGTTCATGAAGAATTTAAAATAATTAAGATTAATATATTATACTCTTAAAACCTAACTAAAATAGTATCATCGGCTGTGTATTACAAAATAGTTCTAATATATATGAAGTTCTATAATATAATATAGTTCGAATACCTCTTTTGGCGTTAGTATTTTAAGAAATACAATCCATAAGCCAACGCCTAAGAACTATTTAATATAAATTCAAATATTTTTGTCCCCAAGGTCTAAGGAAGTTTTATAAATTCCTTTTCACCATTAAAACCGAAATGGGGGAATGTGCACCCTCTTTTTTTGGGGTTCTCTTCGCCCTCTGGTGACAGGTGTTTCTATAAGTATGTGTAATACTGTGTATGTATATGTAAAACACACAAAAAGAGGGTTAGGGGTGAAAGGATACGGAAACGGAAATAGGAAGGCGTCTGTCTAAGATGGCGTTGAAGTGAGAGATCAAGATTCTGTTGACCAACTCTCGAGAGCATATTTATATTTATCGATGGTAACACGCACATAGCACCCACACATATGAATATGTATATAAAAATATATATATGTACATGTCCCAATTGAGAATATAGCAAGGAGTTGGCTTGGATAGGGGTTTATTAAAAATGTATGCCATAAAAATTGCGTTTTCATATTGTGGAAAATGCCCCTGAATATTTACACGTTTTCGCTGGTGAAGAAGGGTAAGAGAACTCTTCACTCTTGTTAAGAGTGTGTATGTGTATGTGTGTGTGTGGAGTGTCAGTGTGACTGTGTCTGTATATGAGTGTCAGTGTGACTGTGCCTGTATGAGCTCGTAAACAGGAAACGGAAATCAGCATGCAAGCGCACGCAGCAACAAAAACAGGAAAATCAACATCAGTTGGATTATTGTTTTTATTTTTTTTTTGGTTTTTATTATTTTTTTTTTTTGGGCCACTCATATTACTGCGGTTGCTTGTGGCAAACATGTTTAATATGAGCATAACCACAGCCTCGTTTTTGCCCATAACATGCACTTGAACAAAATTACTAATAAGAACAATATTAGGAAATGCATATCAGAAATATGTACTCTTCTTTAATCTAATAATTATAATAATTCTTTTGTTATCTTGAATTATTTGTTTGTTTTTGGTATTTTAAATGTTTTTAGTATTTTAAAAGATTTTGATATTTTAGAAGTCCTTTCTTTTTTGGTATTGTACAATACTTTTAATATATTCTTCTTGCGATTAAGTGCAACCTATGAGAATCGAGGAGGAGGGCATTTTTTTTAAATGATTTTTATTATTTTTTTTTATTATTTAAGAACTTTTTAACTTAAGGAAACATTTTTTCAATGCGTATTCTAGCCAAGTTCGGTTAACATGCCCAAATCAACACATGTAACTAGTCAGCTGGAAGGCGTGGGATTGTTTAAAAGGCGGTATGAGTCCTGAAGGGGGTCCTGACGGTGGGCGGAATTTGAATAGAAACGATACAAATAGGAGGCGTAGGGGGCAGGGGACATGGGGCGTGGCAATGCAAATATTGTTATGCAGATGTGGATTGACTCGTGTGTTTACGAAACCGATCATATGCATAAATATACAGGCATGTTTATGGATAAATAATAAACAAAAGTTG